GGCTGTGTCGTGCTCTAGCGCAGGAGCTCAGTACTGCACATGGGGTCTGTACCGATGTAGGGGTGCTGGTAGGACAGCTAGCTATTGCCGAGAATGAGAGGGATTGGTATGAGGGTCTTCTCTGGGAGGAATATCTAGTTGGTGGTTCCAGCATTGTGAAGTCTCTTTGCAGGGATGTTCCATTAGGCTCGGACGAGCCGGCTTGCGCCGCGGAGGTCTTTTTACAGACGCGTACCGTTAGCATTGCCGAGGCGAGGAAAGAGCTGGCCTTGTGGATACCTTCAGCCCTTGAGGAAGTTACTTCATTGGAGCAGACGAACCAAGCAGTCCTTCGCATTGTTATTGCAGACATTGAGGAGTTGATAAAGGAAGGAAAACGAGTGGTGCAAGTTCCTGGGAAGGCTGTCCTGACAAGGAAGGCTGGAATTGGGAAACGTCGATTCAGGTGTGTGGCTTGTGGGAATTACATCCCTACTGGATCTCCGGATTCTAATAACCTTTACGCGAGTGGAGTCGAGGGCTTGACTGTTAGGACGGCGTTATGTTTTGCCGCCTACAATGGATGGGCAGCTTTGAGCGCTGACATACGGACAGCTTTCCTTCATGCGCCGTTGACGGGAGAATTAGAGTCTGATGAGGTTATTATTGTCAGGCCTCCGTACATCCTTGTTGAAATGAATATTCTTTCTCACAATCATAGATGGCGGGTACTCAAGGCACTTTATGGTTTGAGGCAGGCTCCTTTAGCATGGGCTAGGTTCAGGGATAAGTCCTTGCGAGCGTTGACCTTTCAGTGTGATAGTACGTGGTACGCATTGCAGCAGGGGGTAAGTGATGATTCGCTTCGGTTTATCGTCAAGTGCGAGACCGACAAGGAAGATACCGAGAGATGGCATGGAATCTTGATAATTTACGTCGATGATCTCCTGGGTTTTGCTTTGTCGCCGATCCTCAGCGCCCTATTTGATGAGATACAGAAGATGTGGAAGTTGTCTGATCCCGAGTGGATTGGTGAGGCATCTTCGACAACCTTTTGTGGTCTGGAAATTCAAGCTTTGAGTGGCGGTGGTTACCGCATCTCGCAGTATAAGTACTTGAAAGAGCTGTTTGCAGGGTACAATATCCACAGTTCCGTATCGTCGCCTTTGAATGCTTGGAGTGAACCTGAAATTGAACATGATGCGAAGCTTGAAACCATCAGGGAAGCGCAGGCACTGACTGGTGCGCTATTGTGGGCGTCTTCGAAAACTCGACCCGATATAGCTTTTGTTGTCAGTAAGCTTGGCCAGTACGCGGTGAAATCGCCAAGCGTCGTGATCAAGACAGGTCGCCAAGTTTTACACTACTTGTATGGAACTGCTGACTTTGCAATAGAATACAGACGACCTAGCGGAAGTTGGTGGCTCGACTCGCCTGTACCCCGTACGCTTAATACTCTTGAGTTGTTCACTGACGCTTCGCACGCGCCGGAAGGTGGACGATCCTGTCAAGCGATCTTTATCCTTTGGTGTGGCACGCTGCTGTGTTGGGAGTCCAGCAAGCAACCCTTCATAACATTGTCGTCCGCGGAGTGCGAGCTGGTTGCGGTTACCAGTGGCATTGTTGCTGCCGAGTCCGTTGGCGCTATCATTGAGGAGTTAATCTCCAGCGATGTGGTAATCTCAACTTTATGCGACAACCAGGCGACCGTCCGGTCCTTTGCTGTTGGAAGCCTCTGCTGGAGAAACCGCCACCTGAGGATGAGGGCCGCCTCCGGGCGCGAAAAAATCGACGCGGGTTCGTTGGTCGTCTCGTATGTTCCAGGACAAATGCAGCTGGCCGACTTAGCCACGAAACCACTTGCAAGGCCGAGAATCCTAGAACTTCTGAATATGTTATCCATCAGACCTTCGAGAGCCGAGATCCTTGACAATTCTGCCAGAGTTGTAAGTCGCTTGTCTGTGGGTGCGGATTTGATTGAGAGGATTTCACCAGAGTTGCTTGCTGGGCTTGCGATTTTGGCTGTTTTGCCTCCTGTTGAAGGGCACTCCTTATCTGTGACTGGCAGGGCGGCGATTGTTGGAGCAGGTTTGGGCTCGGTTGGCGTGTTGGGGCAACCTTTCAGGGGTGCTCAGGAGATATGGGCGTTTGGCCAGTGGTGGTTTAGTTGGGTAGTGGTAGGGCTGTGCAGATGAGGAGCGTGTCCGTAGAGCTGAAGAGGAGATGAGGGCTAAGGAAAGGTATACTGGTTTAACTTTCATTCAGCGGGTTCGGTTAAGGAAGCAATTGATGCAAGGTGATGTTATTGATGTCCCTAGCATGCAGCAACGGTATGGCCCTCTCCCACCGTGGTTTTCTGGAATTGAGGATGATGAATCGGGTGATGTTCCTTCCGGGTCGAACTTTCAGGTTGGGGGGCCAGGAGTTCCAGGTGTTGGGATTGAGAATCCTCCGCAAAATCCGATCGAAATTGGAGATGCTGAATTTGGACTCAGTCAAGGACTTGGTTTTCCTTATGTTGGGACCGAGCCAGGCATAGGAACACATTACCTTTGGATTCTGTTTGAGCTTCAGGGTGATGTGCTACTAGCATGCCTGGGGCACCAGGTTGCTTCGTGGGAGTGTCTTCGAGGTACTGCTAGGGGCTTTAGAATACATGCGGTTCTGGCCATAATGAACTGGCTGAGTGACACTGGGGCTACGCTTAGCTGTAACAATGGGATTCAAGGGGAAGCTACGTTTAGGTTTGTTCTGGTAGGGGATAGGCATCAGTGGGTTCCTGTTTCTGTACGTCCAACTGGTGATTGCGGCAGTGGCGACCTTGTGATTGCGCAGTCATCTCAGCATGAGTTCAGCAGCAGCTCCAGGGTTAGGCGTGATGCGCAAACTGTTTCTTTGAGCAGCGGCAGTGAATTACCGTCCGGAGCGCAGCCGAATCTTGATGGAGGGAGCAGCGGCTCTGATGGGTTGGTAAATGCGCAGCTTGAGGATTCGATAAGTTGTTATGAGGATTTGTTTGAGGGGTTAGCCGAGCCGGTTTTCCCGATAGTAGGGGGTTTTTGTCCTAGGCATTTCTTGGTAATCCTTCTGAATACTCAATCTGAGACCCTGCTTGGCTTTCTTGGTCAATGGGGACCGGAGTGTGTGAACCTGCTGAGAGCTTCTGCGCATCTACGGGTAGGCATTGTGTGTGCCACTGCTGATGTTCTAAGATCGGGGTCTAATAGTCTAGCTTATGAGGGTCCTCAGTGGTTCGCTTTAGTGCAGGAGTTTATTCTTGGGATCCGAGGGTCTAGTGAGATTGTTGACGACCCGGGAAGTTGTGAGCAGGGCAGTGTGCTGGCTCCTATGCCAAACGTTCAGGAAGGTGGAAGTAGCGGAAGTTCTGACCCCACGCCATCTGCGGCAGGAGTGATCATGCATGGAACTGAGGCGTTTCCTTATGTTACTATTGCAGCTCAGGATGCCGAAGATGATCCGTCACTAGATGATTTTCCTCATAGGCAACCGTATGTTCCGGTGTTAGAGAGAATTCCTCTTGCGGTTGTGTTTGAAGATACATCGTCGGATGAAGCATCGTCGAACGAAGAGGTTGAACTTGCGTCGACCACAGAGCCTTCTATCGTGACCTATAGTAGTGTCAGCAGTGTTTTGAGTCCTCGTGAAGGGCTCTTTGATGAATCACCGGAGGTCTCGAGCGGATCTCATGCTGTTGTATCTTCAACTCAGCCTATAAGATACGAAGCCGAAGAAGGGGGCTTTGTGGTTTATTACGGGGATGATGTAGGCCGGGTCCCACTACCGGGTTGGAGTCTTCAAGAGATTTCCGAGGTTGTTCAGGGTCTTAATTCTGGGGATTGGTCGGCATTTCAGGGTGCTGATTGTACCGAGATAGATTGGGATCCACATCCAAAGGAGTCTGGAACAGAAGCGGAAGTTCCTGCGGTTGAGGTGCTAGGTCTTAGAGGATTGCGGTTGGCAGCATGGTGTGCTGCATTGCTTGCGTGGATCATCATTCTCGGTGGGTGGCTGTCCACCGTCAGTCTTAGAAGACAGTCTTGAGCCTTGTCGGAGGACTGTAAGCTTCCTTCGAAACATGGGCTGATCTGAGGATCGGAAGGGTTGCCAATCTCATATTGGGCTTTTATAGTCAGGTCCTGCTAAGTTAGGCTGATTCAACCCGTTGTTGATCTCAGATTGCTCTGTAAACGTTCGAGATGCCAGCGGTCAGACATTCATTATCTCTGAAGGAGATAGCTCTAGCATAGAAGAGCGCTCGGAATGTGACTTCTGTCTGGTTTTTGTCTCTACCTGTAGATCAGAGTCAGTGTCAACAGATGGCGCTTGCTGATGAGTGTTTGAAGGACTCTTGAATTTTCCGTTTAATCTCTTGTTCACATACCCTGTGCAGGGGTATGTGAAGGGGGAGTGCGTGAGTCTGATCAGCGAGCCCTGCGCACAGGAAGACACGAGAACCTCTGTGGACATGCAGGCTGTCTTTTGCTCGAAAAAACTGGTGGAGGCCGTCCGTGTTCAGGGGTCTAACCATTGTTGTGGGGTTTAATTCTAGTGATTGGGCCCTGACATAGAGCATTTGTAGTCCACTTCATTGAAAGATTGCTTATCTTCACGTACTAAGCCCTAAACCCTAAGCCCGGAGCTCTTTTCCCTACACCCGAAGCCCCAAACCCTGAACCGTAAAACCCTGACTTCCAGGCCCTGAACTCTAAGCCAAAAAAAAACCCTAAACACTCTGACTCCTACCTTAACACCCAATAACCTACCTTTTTATCAGGGTTCACATAAAGAAATCTTAATAAGGAGTCCCAAAAATGTAGGTTCTTCGGGTTAAGGTAAGCCCTAAACACTCTAACTCCTAAGCCCTAAACCCCAAATAACCTACCTTTTTATTCGGGCTCACATAAGGAAATCTTAATAAGGAGCCCCAAATAATGTAGGTTCTTCGGGGTTAAGGTAAGCCCTAAACACTCTAACGCCTGAGCCATGTCCCGACTCGAGTCCTCGGTGGGCCCCTCGTGCTTCGCCACCTGAGAGGTTCCGAAAATTAGGGGTACATTGTTTTGGGGTACATATATGGGAGTTTCGGAAAATAAGGGGTTACCTTAAGGATCCTACTATTTAGGAGTGAACCCCGGAAAGTTGGAACATGAATTTAGGATGACTCGTGCGGGGATTCCCTATACTTTACTTTGAGGGTATGAGGATAATAATGTTCCAACTTTCTGGCTTCTCCTGTATTGGGGTCCTTATACTTGCAGGTTCATGGGTAGTTATAAGTGGAGTTATGATTCCCCTGATATGGGTTGTAAGTCCTACTTATAACATCACTAAACACTCCCCATGAACCTCCAAGCAATAGGGATCCTATTACTTAGGGTACTATGTTAGGGTCCCCAAACCTTAAACCGCTAAACCACTCAAACCCTCTAAACCCCTCAAACCCCAGACCACTCAAACCCTCTAAACCCCTCAAACCCTCTAAACCCCTCCCCTCAAACCCTAAAGCCCTCAAACCCTAAACCCCTCAAACCCTCTAAACCCCTCCCCTCAAACCCTAAACCCCTCAAACCCTAAACCCCTATTTTCGGAAACCCCCACCTGACGGAAGTCGACGTCCGTGGGCCAGGCCTTCAGCAAGCCTTCGATCTCCTTCGGAGTTTAAGTGATGCTTTAGGGTTTAGGGGTTTAGGGTTGGGGTTTAGGTTTTAGGGTTTAGGGGTTTAGGTTTTAGGGTTTAGGGGTTTAGGTTTTAGGGTTTGGGGGTTTAGGTTTTAGGGTTTCGGGGTTTAGGGTTTCGAAAAACCGTGAATCCAGACCATCGAAAAATCAATTTCCTGTCAGGATCTTCTTCAAGAGTCTTATCAATGCCTGAACTGTCAGTGTAGTCAACCCAAAATCATCAATCTCCAAACCGTTCATCTCGGGGTCAGTTGACTCCAAAATGCGAGTGTACCTATTTGCCATCAATAAGTTTCCACGCATAGATCAGCAGGGATGACAAAGGAGAGGGACACTTGTCCGGATGAATGAGAACGTCTTGTTCCGAATGAACCATTCTGATCTCTTGTGTTGGTGTTTGAACCCAGTGATCAGTTGTTCAAACTTCATCGGTGAGGATCCTTGGTGTCGAACAGTCGGCCTTCCAGCGATATCCAACGGGGTGAAACGCGCTTCGGCTCAAGGAACCGGCTGACACACGACGACCCCGAAGGGTGCCCGACTTGAAAGAGGGTGGGAACGATCAAAGGCGCCGTCGTCCTTGCAAAGAAGACGAATCCGGTGTCCTGTCGAAGAACTTGCAGTGTGTCCTCGTGCTGGACCAGAGCACGACACACCATTTTCAAGATTTGTTCCGGGTTTAGGGTGTAGGGGTTTAGGGTTTAGGGGTTTAGGGCCTACTTAAAAGCTGGGATGCCCAGCAACCTAGGAATAAAAAGGAATTTTGGCATTGGGTAACTCTATAAGGAACCGAAGACTACAACAAGGGAAAGAGAGTACTACTGGGCATCCTAGTTTAGGTGTTTAGCGTCTAGGGCTTCAGGGTTGAGGGGTGTAGGGATTTAGGGCATGATTAGGGGTTCAGGGAGTTGGAGCTTAGAAGTTTAGGGGTTTTAAGGGTTCCTTTACAGGTGCCTACAAGGGTAGAAAGGTTCAGGGGTTTAGGGCTTTTCGGGTCTAGGGGTTGAGGGGTCAGGCGTTAAGGGGTTGAGGATGGTCGAGGGACTTAGGGCTTTAGGGCTTTAGGGGTTTAGGGTTTAGGGTTTAGGGTTTAGGGGTTTAGGGTTTAGGGTTTAGGGTTTAGGGTTTAGGGTTTAGGGTTTAGGGTTTAGTCCGAAGCGTCCTTCAACGTCTGGGGATCTCTTTCGCTGGCTCAACTGTTGCACTGCGTACATTGTAGGTTGCCTTAACCTGTTTACCTTAACTTATCTAAACCCTAAGCTCTAAACCGGAAACAATCCCAAACCCCAAGCCTTCAACTCTGCTCGATTCCAAATCCGCTGGGTTTAGTAAGTAACTCATCTCAGTTTCGGGCATCCTGCTCGGAAGTCTAAGGCCACGTGCGTTTACGGCTTAGGGTTGATGGACCATACCCATACAGAAAAGCTGTGTCCCGTCAACGATACTATGCTGAGCACTGGAAGGAAAACCCAGAGAGTCCGAAAGTTGACACTCCGGAGAAACGTTAGTGTTACAGGAATGTCGATTCGCACCACAACACGGAGTTTCCGACAACAATGGGTACCTTGTTTAGGGGTCCTTGTAATGAAGATCCTACTATTTAGGGTACGATATATTAGGGTCCCCTATTTGCGGAAACCCCCACGCTGGGAAATCAAGAACGTAGCCAAGACGAGTTTTTCTCACACTTCAAAGACCCAAGTATCCCGAGAACAAAACTCTTGCCAAGCTGCATACATCCCGAACAAAACAGTCCTATATAAATCCCAGCAGACTCGACCCCAATCCCAAGACCCTGTATGAAACCGACGCGACGCTAGAGACTGTCGAGCAAATCAAAGGCTCTTCTTCGGAGAGCGGAATGGAGAAATCAAGCGTCTGCAACCTGAGATGTTGGATTGGGGTGGTTCGTGGCTGACTATGAAAGTGCGCCAGGATCCATACTCTTTGTATACTATACGTACCCAACTTGAGGGTTATGAGTCCCAAACCCTGAATCAGACCTGAAATTGTCGGCCCGTCGTCTCCGCTAATGGGAGCTTCGCAGGCAAAGAAGGGAAGCTGGCAAATCAGTTGGGAGCGGCTCTAATGGGTTTAGGGTTAACCCGAAGGCTCCATGTACCCACATAGCAGATACTTAGGCCTTAAAGTACCTATATAGGGACCCCTTTAAGGCTTAAGTATCTACTAGGGCTTCGGGTTTAAAGGGAACTCCAAAAAGTTGGACTATGGTTTCAGGGTAGGATACCTTGTAATTTTCCATAAAGGGTTTAGGATACTCATATTCCAACTTTCTGGCTTTTACTTTAAGGGCTTGGGTGTAATTTCCCCCTCTGAGATGATCGAAAACCACTGACAAATTAGAACAGCCTGATAAAGACCCTGTTCTAACTGTTTAAGGCCCCCCATAACACGGAAGCCTCATAATAGCAACCCTTATCTTAGCCTAAACCCTTAAAGCCCTGTTTCAGACAACCCAGACAGTAACCCTATAAGGCCTAAGCCCCTCAACCCTAAACCTGAAGAATCCCTTTAAAAAAGTCCTGTGCTAACTGTTAAGGCCCCTACCTAGACTAGACCTAAGAGTAACCTAGGGATAAAAAGGGTGCCCTTTTTGGTTTAAAGGGGGTTATAAGGGAACCTACACCCTAAAAAAGGGAATAAGGGCCTACTCTAGGTCCTAGTAGAGTCTGCGTTGTAGTTTCTGTTTGTGGTTACTTGTAGGATCCTACATATAGAACTGTTTAAACAAAACCAAGGAACTGCAACGGAGAGTACAGAGCGCGAAAAGCCCTAAAGCCTATCCGCACCCTACAATACCTAGCTTCTTGGGGTATGTTTAGGGGCCTGACAAATGAGAGAGGCTTATTGTGAGGTTCTTGCGAGGGTTCACTAAGGGTTCGATAGACTAGGGGCCTCCGTGGTTCGAATCCAACAAAGCTACCTACACAGGAGCTATAAGGGGGTACGAATACGAACCTTTACAGATGCCCCCTAAACTCTAAACCCTACAACGCTACACCCTTTCAACCCTAAAACCCTGAACCCTTAAAACCTAAACCCTAAAACCCTAAACCCTACAACGCCAAACCCTATAAACCCTAAAACCCTGAACCCCCTTTTTTTGAAAGAGCACGGCTTGAACTTGGGGGACCCGGGGCTGCAAAAGCCTAGGCCTAGCCATCGGATATCAGGGCCCCCAAAAAAGCACATAAGCAAAAATTAGGATAGGGATATCCCATATAAACCCCCTTATAATGAAGCCCAATAAGGTAGGGATATCCTTATAAAATGCTTATGCTTATGTGCTTTTTGGGTCCCTAAGATATGACTCTATGATATGACCGTCTATCCCGGAAGCCCTTGAACGGGAACCGCAAGAGTACATCCCAAAACCCGGAACCCGAAACTCCAAACCCTCATACTCCACCCTGGACCCTAAACCCCCAAAACCTTAAACCCCTATAAACTCTTAAACCCCTAAACCCCTAAACTCTTAAACCCCTAAAACCCTAAAACCCTATACCCCTAAAACCCTAAAGACCTAATCCCCAAAGAATCCTCAACCCCAAACTCCGACCCGAAACCATCCCCCGACCCGTAACTCGAAACCCCTAAAGTTTTAATCTTCGGAAGAAAACAGCATCTTGACTGAGAGCTACCCATAGGCCCGAAAGTAGTTCCTTTTAGGATTACCTGATAGGATTTTGTATATGTATATATATATATATAGACACATATGAGACCCACAAAGGAACTAGTATGGTGCCTTAGGGTAAAGCTCTTCGGGCTGCTGAGGTTTGGGGCCACAAAACCTTAAGGAATCTTGGGCAAGCGATTTCGGTTTCGGCGTTGTGCTCTATTTGTTTACAGTAGAAGCCCAAAAGTTGGAAACTCCATAGCCTCACCCCTTAAGAGTAATGTACAAGGAATCCCAGCACTAATTGTCCTTAATCAGGTTTCCAACTTTTTGGGGCTTACTGTAATTTGATGGCGTAGCTAGGGCTCTTCTGCGTTAAGCCAACAAGTAAATCAGTCATTTATCCCAGACCGTTACCTAGTTCGGGCTTCGCAATTGGCTTGGAGGTGCTGTCAAAGCCTTTGAACATATTAGTAGGTAAGATCCTCTTAAGCCCAATAAGTTTATATAAGCCCAATAAAAGCAAACATAAAATGTCCCACAGCCCTACCTACCCTAAACCCTAAACCCCCTAAACCCTAAACCGTTGGGATTTGAGGTTTAGGTGCCTGTGGGGCTCAGGCGAAGGCTGAAGAGCTTGGGCTCAGGATTGAAAAGCCGAGGCAGTGTCTGGGGTTGGGTACGGCCCCCACTCAGTAATAGCTGAATAATATTCAGAATATAGATATATTAAGACCTTAATAGTAGCCCTATTATAGACTATTACTGTATGGGGGCAGTACCTAAGTCTGGGGCAACTCCGAACACCCAAATCCAGAACGAAAAACAAAACATCCACAAACAACCGGCTGTCACTGCCTAGGCGACTTAGTAAGCAGGCTAGTAGCCAGGTTATACGTAGTTATAATCCCACCCGAAACCCTAAACTCTGCACCCGAAACCCTACACCCAAATCCAAGTGGGGTACTTACAAACTCTACTTACTAGGCCCCCTCAGGGTTTTCAGTACTAAACCCTTTTAGCAGCCTCTGACACCCTACTTGCAAGTTTTTTTAAGTGCAATGACTCTTTCTCACTCCGCACGCAGAGTAGGACTTGAGCCCACCCTCTCCGGGCATACACTGCATCAAAGGCACTCGGAAGTACGGCGTACCACACAGCTCTTGCAGGTTTTTTTTGAGCTGCAAGAGTTTAGGGCTCAGGGTTGGCCTCCTTATATCTCCTAATCTAGACGCAAGAGTAACCTAGGAATACAAAGGGTGCGGTAAGGGTTCCTTTAAGGGAGCTATAGGGGTTTAGGGTTTAGCGACCCAAGAGTAACCTAGGACCTAGGAATAAAAAGGGTGCCCTATTTGGTTTAAAGGGTATTATAAGGGAACCTGAACCCTACAAAAAAAGAAAAAGGGCCTACTCTGGGTCCTAGTAATCTTCTTAGTCAAGCTCAAACCCAGACCGCCTGAAATCCTAAACCCGACGCCCTAAACCCCCCAAAAATACCCTAAAAAAGGCCTAAATCCCTAAAGCCCTGAGACCCTCAAGCCCTAGCCTAAAGCGAAACCCCTAAAGTCCTAAAACCCTCAAGCCCGAGCCTGATACTGCTTCGAAGAAGCGCCAAACAAAGCTTTTGCAATGGCAAGGGTGATCGGCGGAAAGCAATGGCCAACTGCTGCGCCCGGTTCCTCTATCTTCAGGTGGAGGGTGTAGCAATTTTGTGTTTCGGGATTAAGGTGTAGGGTTTGGGACCGAGGGTGCGAATTTGTGACTTTGGGTTCAAGGTTGAGGGACTCTGAATACAAAATGTTAGCTCGACTCTGGCAAGCATGACGCGCGCGTGTTTGATTTAAAAGCCTTACACTCTCAATATCCAAAACCCTAAACTGCCGTCCCAAACCACCAGCATTGAAGCCTGTCTTCGACGGTGAGGACTACCGTTGTCACTATCAAGCTCGTCATCGTCATAGTAGCAGCGTTAGCCCAGAATCCAAATCCCAAACTCTGAACCCAAACTCGTGGACTCCCAAAGCCGAAAATCCTAAACGCAAGCCTAAACGGTGAACTCGACTAGGAGGTGTTTTATCAAGCCTTTGAAAAATATTAGCGACTAAGATCCTCTCAAGCCCAATAAGAGCAAATATAAAACCTCCCAAAGCCCTACCTAGTAAAACCAACCCCTGAACTTAGAACCCTAGCAAAATTCTAATTTTTGCTGTTTCTTAGGGATTATAATAACCAAAAATTAAACGTTATTTCTAAGTACCCCTAAGCCCTGGAGCCGTGTCCTATCCAGGAGGCAGACGCCGGAGCTCTTCGGGATGAAAGCGCTCGGCCGAGCTGTCTGCTGCACAACCGAAGCTGCCAAGACCTCTTTAGGGCTTGAGGGTTTGAAGCTATGAGGGTGTAGGAGATTAGCATTCGAGGGTTTAGGACTTCGGAGTTTAGGGTTTGCGGTTTCAGGGTGTAAGGTTTAGGGGCTGGAGGGTTTAGGACTTAGGAGTTTAGGGTTTCAGGGTTTAGGGTTTAGGGTAATTACTAGGGATACTGAGGGAACGTCGAGGGGGCCTTGCGGAGCACTCGGGAGAATAAGGGTATAAATGAAATGGGCCACGTTAGATTCCCCTCCCTTGTGGATCCATCAGTTGGACTGAACACATTAATTACGTGGCAATGGATTGTGTGTGTGTGTGTGGAATCAGCCGTATCTCCAAGCCGTTGTAGGGTTCAACCCCCTGGCGGTGTGAAAGCTCACGGAAACTCGCCTCTTCAGGGGAGGACGGAGGTCTCAACTTCTGAACAATCAGTGTTGATATTCCCTGACCAGTACCCGCAAACCCTAAACCGGTTATACTAGAGGCCCCTTTACTGGGATTACCCTAAACCCTAAACCCTAAACCCTAAACCCTAAACCGTGTGCGTTTGCTTCTGATCTGACAAGACATCATTCAGCTATCGTTCAGACTTAGGACCGCACCTGGAGGCACCAAAGCACCTAAACCCTAACCCCTAAACCCTAAGCCCCAAAAGCCTAAGCCCGAAAGGCCTTCATTGAACCAAGAATTTGGAGGAAATCGTATGTAGGAATCCTTCAAACTCAGGAGTATTACCTTCACTAACAAGTACCACGATGTGCTACGGTATTCAACGAATACTCTGTATGCTCAGGAAGATTCACTGCCAAATGGTGAAATCTCTGGCCCTCCTTTTCTAGATCCCTGCTAGAACCCTTACAGACCACATTACAAGAAGCCTTACATCAAAGCAAACCAGAGAAGTCCTAAAGCCCAAATCTCCCCGACATCCCTTATACAAGCCTTATAGACGTCACTAAAAGGAACCCTAAAGCCCTAAACCCTTCTGAATCCTAGAGCCCCTGCCAACCTCGTGTAGCATCTTCCGTGTTTCGTTGTAGGGCGCTTTGCTGTCCTGGCATGGCATAGCTGGTCTTTGGCAGGGGTTTTGGGTTTAAGGTTGCATAGGGGTTCTGGTAGGCCTCGGCATGTCAGGGTGTAGCACCAGCTGATGATGTTTCAAGGCAACTGAGGGTTTGACACCGTGGTGCCTAACCCTAAACCCGAATGCCCCACAACTGACCACCAGCACAATCGGAGTTTCAGAAAGTTCATAGAAGGTCAAGGGGCATTATTTGTAGGGAGTCACAGAGGCCCTATCTAGATCAAACCTTACACACGAAACACTGAGTCCGCAAAGCCTAAACGTTGTGGTTTAGGGTGCATCGGATCCGAAACCTTGATTATCATCAGGGTGGTTGTCAAAATTATGGTTCCTTTTTGGGTCCCTATCATAATACGGCACCTATTATTTAGGGTACCCAAAAAGGCACCTTAATTTTGACAACTACCCATCACTATCTCACATGCTGTCCAGGCCATCGAAGACCGTGCCCGAATGGTCGGAGATCGTTCTCCAGCGGATGCGCCGTGTCCCGAACCTGGGAACAAAAAGCCCTTTCCAGACCAGGGCCTTTTCCAAACTTAGGGTTCAGGGCTTAGGATTCAGGATTTGATACAGGTCGTGTTGCAAGTTTGTGCAAGGGGTCCCTGATCAAGGGAGTCACGCTAAATTCTGGGATAGTTGAATGCTCATAAACAGCTATTTACATGCATATATATATATATATATACACACATAAAACTATACATAGATATATATGCCTGGGTAGTTAGGTAGTTTATCCAAAACCGCTGCAGCGAATATGATAGATAGTGGGCTCTCTGGGTAGTATATAGGTGCAGCAAAGCCGCGGCTGCGACTTTGCTTCCCCGTCACGGTCCTCGAAGTTTTGGGACCGCTGGCTGGCCAGGGCTCCTGCTAATGAGGGATCTATAAAGGTACTATAGAACATGGGCCTGTATTAGATATCACAACAGGTTCTGTCGGAGCTTATCGGAGAGCGTTTAGGGTTTAAGGTCTAGGGGGCTTATATATACACATGATATTATGTGTTTCATAGATCGACATAATATTAATATGTACTTACATGAAAAGCAATATATATATATATGTATGTACATATATATATATACACATATATCTACATACACACACAAGAGGCATCTATAGGCAGCTTCGATGCACTGATCCCGACAAGCGTCTCAGAGCCAAAACCACACGCCCTAAAATGCAGCAAAGCGCCATGTACCGATAACATCCTAAATCCGGTTTCCTCCTTTCGGGGGAGTTCCTTTGCCACCTCGGCTGCAGCATGCTGAGAGGGTCGCCGGCTTTAGGCAGCACATCATTGTTGGGTTTTTTGGTTCAAGCTTCTCTTGAGTGTAAATAATGCTTGCTTGCTATAAGCCGCGTTGTCCGCGGAACTCCAGTCCTTCTTATCGGGCAATACTTAGCAGATTCCTGTCGGTAAGTAGGTTCTACACGCGGTCAGACGCACAAAGGCCCGAGATACCGGTTTCAGGAAACCCAGGCTTTTCTAGGATGCGAATCAGCCGAGCTGCCTTTGGCCCCGGCTTTGCCCTTTGGTGTCCCTGGTGGGCCCTTCGCAGCATTCTTGCTGGGCCCCTTTCCCAATCCCTTCCTTGGCTTGACTTTGCTAGCCGAATGTGGGATTTTGGTTTGGGGCTTAGAAAATTTGTTCTTTGGGTTTCGACGGCTTCATTATATTCAATATAGTGGGAATATGCACAAGTGACAAACATGCAGAATTAGAGTATACCTCTTAATAAAGTGATGCCCGGGAGACAGAAACCATTTCCAATACAATCTAAGATTCGGAGGCGGTGGCGCCTTGCCCTTGCCTTTCTGAGGAGAGCTGGTCGAAGTGCTCGGGGTCGTCGGGGAGCTCGGCGTAGTTTGGAGCTCTTTGCAGGGAGTGCTGGCCTCACCTGGGCTCTTGTGAAAGGGGTTTGATTTAAGCTCCCGTAATAAGGAAGCCATATCATTTACGTACCACAGATCCCAATTAACTATGGTAGCTTAAATTACCCTAAGGCCCCAAAGTAGTTCCTTTTTGGGGTTCATATATAGAATCCTATAAGGTAATCCCAAAAAGGAACTCCTTTGGGGCCTATGGGTAAATTCCTTAACAACAAGACCTAAGAGTAACCTAGGAATAAAAAGGGTGCCCTTTTTGGCTTAAATGGTGTTATAAGGGAACCTAACCCCTAAAAAAGGGAATAAGGGCCTACTCTGGGTCCTAGACAAGAACCCAGTCACTGGTAGCCTTCCGGGGCTCGCTCGGCTCATCCTCCAGCTGCAGCTCCTTCTGGTTACATGGTTGGCATAGTATCAAACCTTAGAAGGGGCCCCCACCCTGTTATAGTTATAGTGGTATAATAGGAATATGATAGGGCCCTAATATAATCCTTATAGCCACTATTACATGGTTGGCAAAGTATTAAACCTGTCAAGGTCTATTCCTTAATTGGGTTTAAGTTCCCGCAACAACACCGACATGATACCTGACAAAGTGATACATAAACCCTTAGCCCTTAAACCCTTAAGCCCTAAACCTCTAAACCCTAAACTCTAAACTCTTAAACCCCTAAGCCCTTAAACCCTTATAGCCCTGAACCCCTAAAACCCTGAGCCCTGAAGCCCGACCTTAACCTACCAAAACCTACTTTTTTGCAGGGTCCCTATAAATTCCATATTAGGGTCTATAATAAGAAACTGCAAAAAAGTAGGGTTTGGTAGTGTAAGGTAAAGCCCTACACCGCAGCTCCTCTACCGAGACTCCGGAGGCGAGGCGTGCTCGGGTTCCGGGGGCGGAGACCCCTCGCAGTTGCCTGGGTACTTGTTAAAGGACTTAGTTTAAGTTACCATATGGGTGGTTGTCAAAATTAGGGTCTTTTTTTGGGTTCCTATTATAGTACGGCACCAAATACTTAAGGTACCAAAAAAAATTGATAGGGATATAGAAGGATTCCTTTCAAGGATCTATAAAGGTTAAAGGATTAAGGAATGTAAGTGAAGTTACCACGATGAAGACATCATATTATTTACTATAGATTGCTAGTATATGGTAACTTAGACCCTTAATCCCTAAACTCTTGCATTAAAGGAACCATGATAAATCCCCCAAAGGAATCTCCCTGGCCCTAAACCCTAAACCCTCATATAAATCCTTAACAAGAGCCCAGGTTGCGCCAGAGCCACGAGACCAGCGCTCAGAAGCAGCGGCGCACAGGCCTGGTTTAAGGGTACCTTTAACCCCAAGGGTCCAAAGGACCCAATAATTAGGTACCCGGTTTTAGGATAGTAGTTATGTAGGTTAGGATTTTGGAGAGTATATGATTATAAGGTACTTGGACCCGGGGGGTTAAGGGTTGCTATACGGGTTCCTTTAAGGGGCCCTTTAAGTGTACTATAGTAACTAGATGCCTGGTCAAGTTTTAAGGTTAAGGGTTTAAGCTAGGGTTTGGGGTTTAGGATTTTAGGGCTTAGGCTTTAGGATTTTAAGGCTTAGGGTCTAAGGTCAGCATTTAAGGTTTACCAGCACCCCCCCCCCAACCCAACTATTACCCCAAGGGTCCAAGTACCTAATAATCATATACTCTCCAAAATCCTAACCTACATGACTACTATCCTAAAGCCGAGTACCTAATTATTAAGGCCCATACAGTGGAACCCTTATGGTAGCCCTTTTAAAGGAACCTTATAGAACCCTTTAAAGGAACCCTAATTCTTCGGTCCTTTGGACCCTTGGGGTTAGAGCCGAAGCACGCGCTACTCCAGACCATCAGGCCTCTATTAAAGGGTACCTTGGGGGGGAGGGTTTAGGAGGGTTTAGGGTTTAGGGTTTAGGATTTAGGGTTTAGGGTTTAGGGTTTAAGGTTTTTGTTTTACGGGTTTAGGGCTTAGGGCTCCTTAAAGGGGCTCCCGGAAAGGGATCTATAAGGGAGGTAAGGGTTGCTATTTACTGGTGCTATCGGGTTGCCACAGGAATCTCTTTCTGTGGCACTGGTCGGTGCCCTTAGGCCCCCAAAAGCACATAAACAACAATTAGGATAGGGATATCCCATATAAACCCCCTTATACTGAAGCCCAATAAGGTAGGGATATCCCTATAAAATGCTTATGCTTATGTGCTTTTGGGGTCCCTAATCCTAGATGCCCATCGGTTGAAGAAGGTGCCGTCAGCGGGACATATACTCACTACTTACTCGTCATCACCCGGACGCCACACCGAAGGCCAAGAGGATCCCTGAAAGGAACTCTTAAAGGATCCCTTTTAGGAGCCAAACCACAGACCATCGTAGACTCTAAACCCCGAGCCCCTGTTCCCTGAACCTTAAACCCTAAACCCCGAACCCTAATCCCTGAACCCCAAACCCAAAGCCCTGAACCCTCAACTCCAAACCCCAATCCTTGAACCCCAAACCCCAATCCCTGGAGAACCCGAAAATCTTCAAATAACAACAGAGCCTGGTGCACTTTCAGAGAATCAGGCTCCTCTGGGAACTCCTCCTCTGCACTTTGAAGAACGCCAGGGAGACAAAAAGTAGGGCTTCAGGTTTAAAGTAAAAGCCAGAAAGTTGGAATATGATTATCCTAAACCCTTTATGGTAAATTACAAGGTATCCTACCCTGAAACCATATTCCAACTTTCTGGAGTTCCCTTTAGGGGTTTCAAGATCCCCGAATAGTAGTAGTGGCTGTTTCGGGCACAACAGAGGGTAGTTGGGGGGTCTATAGGTATAGAGCTTAGAAGCTGCCCCCACCCTGTAATAGTGACTATAAGGATTATACTAGGGCCCTATTTTCTATTCCTATTATACCACTATTACAGGGTGGGGGCAGCTTCTAAGGTATATAGAGCTTCATTTCAGACTAGTCCCTTGAGACATAGACAGTATTTCCATTATGGTTCCTCTAAGAAAGAGGTCCACGAGAAAGTATGGGCTTCCATTTCATTATGGCTTCCGTTGCAGAATGGTTGCTTCTAGGGGCCAAGTACAAAACAAGTATTTCATGATGGCTCCTTGAAGGAACAGGTCCAAAAGCAAGAATCCAAGTATAATACTGCAAAGCCCAGTCGATAAACGTACCCTTATAGTAGCCCTTTGATACCAGAACCTTATAATACCTTCAGTACCCCTGTAGTACTCTTAAAATGCCCGTACATATTATATAGTACCCTTTATAGTGACCCTTTTAGTACCATTTATGGTGCTGCAGAACCCAGTCCTTTGCTTCCGGCAAGGCCCGGATGTCCACGATTGGGGTTTCATTCACCTGCCCAAAGGGTGCTAAGTACGTAGCGAAAACGGTACAGTGTAGGTTTCACGGTATGGGATTTAGGGTTTCCATGCTAGGAATCATTATTATGGAAAGTATCCTCGGTAACAGTACCCAGGACCCTTTGGGTCTACGGTAAACTCCTTAAAGTTGGAAGCCCGATTAAGGCCAAATAGTGCCGGGATTCCCTATATATTATCTCTTAATGATTGAGGCTAGTGGGTTTCCAACTTTTGGGCTTCTACTATACTACTTTTCGCGCCACTGTGAGGTCCTGTAAGGATTCTTGAAACGTTCTAAAAATGCTACTACTTTTAGGGTGTAGGGCTTAGTAACTAGCATAACAACGACAATATATGCGAGGAATACTAACTACAGAATGACAAACAAGCCAAACACACCAGCAAACTCACAAACTCTCACGTAACATCACCAACCTTTGTCTAAGTATCCCGGCATTACGCGTGGGCAGATTGGGTAGTCGGTCACCTTTACAGTGCCCAAAAGGAGAAGCAAAAGCCGTTCAGCCACAGGAATCCTCGTTTCCAGAATTCCTTCCAAACCCAAACCCCCAAAACCTCACGACCTCCACTATTGCTTGCAGGTTCTTGGGGAGTTATACGTGGGTTTGTATGTAAGGTATCTATAGTTACATCCCAGATTCTTCGGACTTATACGCAACTCCACTGATAACTACCCATGAACTTCCAAGTAACCCTCAACCCCGGAGCCCTAACAGAATTCTAGACTGGAAGACCAAAAGCCTGAAACTCAAATTCGATACCCCGCCTGGAGTCGGGTGCTGTACAAAAGCCCGCAGAAAATAGAGAGGCGGATCATAACCCACCAGGGGGCGCTTAGGTAAATCTGCGTGGGGCTATGGCTTGGGGTTTAGGTTGTATTCAGACTCTTGTATGATTGATTAGCTCTCATTTGACAAGCTTCCTGTTTCCTTGATCCCTTAGGCAAGATATCGGGTTTGAAGGGTTTAAGATCTACGAGGCTCGTGCATTGTGACATATAGTCATCGACATCATATGCTTGGGTGGTAGAATTGGGGAGCTAGGCACTCAGTTACTTCGTGTAGGATGCGGAGATTAGGGTTTGTTCAGGGGTTAGAGATTGGGGTTTAGGGAATAGGATAAGGGGTTAGTTTAGTGCTTGGGCTGGTTTGGTGGGTTGATCCAATGTTTCGGGGCGACAATGGCATGTAATTACACTCTACCTCACCATCCGCAGCGCGAGCCGAAAGCAACATAAAACAACACGACCATGGCATAAACACTGCCTTAATCCTGAACAACCTATCTCTTTGGGTTCCTTATTATGACTTCCTTATATAAGTCCTTACAAAGGTAAGCTATTCCGGGTTGAGGTGGACACCAAAAAAGCAAAATCTGAACCTTAAGGCTCGGAGCCTTTGATTCGAACCCCTAAACCCTGAACCCCAAACCCAAGCCCTACCTTAAACATAGAATCAGAAAAGCCCCTAAACCGAAAACCCTAGACCCCAAACCCTACCTCAATTAACCTGCCAAAACCTGCTTTTTTGCAGGATCCCTATAGATTCCATAGTAGGCTTTATAATCAAAACCTAACAAAAAAGTAGGGTTTGGTAGTTTAAGGTAGGCACCAAACCCTAAACCCCCCCTAACCCAAGGAGGCGCTCAATTCGAGGACGAGCACCTGCAGACCCGAAAGACCTGACTCAACAACCCGGTGGTCCTAAACTTACCTTGGGTTAGTAGGGAATGGAAGAATGGTAGTAATAGTAATTTTAATTGTACCCCGTTCCTCCATTCCCTAGTAACCACAGGTAAGTAAACCCTACCTTGAACCTGAATAACCTACACTTTTCGGGATTCCTTAATATGATTTCCTTGTAAGAATCCGTAGAAAGGTGTGTTATTCCGGGCTAAGGCAAACCCTAAAACTGAAACTTTAAACCCCTAAAACCGCGAGCCCTAGAGTCTGCCATTCACAAGACCAGAGTCACATGGGAGTTTCCGAAAATTAGGGGTGCCTTATTTGGGGCCTTTATAATAAGGATCCTACTATTTAGGGTATCATATTAGGGTCCCCCATTTTCGGAAACTCCCACATGTCTGAGGGTTGCATGCAGGATTTTAGCGTTTGTCTTCAGTGTCCCGCGCGGCTCCTCTTCTCAGTTTGACCAGCTACATATTTAGGATCCGATGATGTATAGGGTTTAGGGTGTCTGGTACAATAGGTGAATCAACTACCGCAGACGGAAGACAAGGAACGGATTGATTTTCCACTCCGCATCCGATACACAGCTCCCAGGCGCCCCTGGCACACCAGAGAGCACCCCAAGTTGAGGGCTATATAGTTAGTTAAGAGTTGAGGGTTATTATAGGGCTTTGGGGTTGAGGCTTATAGGGCTTGTGGGCTTTAGGCTTTAGTGCCCATACTCGGTTCATGGGTGCCTATATAAAGAACGTGAGCAACATCTTTCCAAACATCATGACCCAAACCTTAAGCCAACTTGAAATCGTACACCCTGGATCCCAATCCACAGAGAAGCCACCTTAGTTGCTGAGTTCATAAGCCCCAAAAAGCGTACACTTTTAGTTTTCATAGTGGATAATAATCCCTAAACCTAAACCCTACACCGTTAATCTTATCCCAAGAAGTGTGCTCAGCTACCAAGCCACCAGCCTGACGATCGAAGAAGCCCACAATTCCTGAACCTCCGGTTCTGAAATGCCCAGCCCAGACGAAGGAGTAGTTGGGCTCGGGGCTTGGGGTTTAGGGTTTAGGGGTTTGGGTTTAGGGTGTAGGTAAGGGTTAAGGGTTTAGGGTTTAGGTTGGGGAAAATTGGCTTCCGGGTTGACAATCACGGTTCCATCACCAGCTAGACCAAGAGGGATTCTGTAGGGCAGGTGTTCGGTGCTTAGGGTGAGTTTGCTTGAACACTAAACAGACCTATACATCTGCAGGGTGCTTTATTCCGCATGTCCCTAAGAAGGTACGTGCTTTGGCTACAGGCATGCATAACCTACAAATCTTAATGTTGACCTAGGATTAATAATCCCCCTACGATTAAAGGCGGCCTGCGGGCGGCTCCGGCCCCAATCTGTACTACTTTAAAGGCAGCACCCAAATAAGGATCGTTTTTTGCAGAAAACCCCCCACGATTAAAGGCAACACCGTCTGGGGATCTAAAATTTCAAAAAGTGCTTCGAAGACTACTTTTTAAGGGGGCAAGACTACATTTAAAGGGCGTCTTGTCCTCTTTCAAGCGGTTCTTTCAAGGGCTACTGCTACTGCTACTGCTACTGCCACTGCTACTACTGCTACTACTGCTGCTACTGCTGCTACTACTACTACTACTACTACTACTACTACTACTACTACTACTACTACTAGCACCACTGTCTACTGCAATTTGGCTTCGCGGGATTATTTGGGGGTCTGTGATCCTGTGGGGGGCCTGCGACCTTGACAACCTTGAGGGGGGGGGGGGGCGGGGGGGGGGGTTTATTAATCAGGGGTCAACATTACTTGAACGGCCGAGGGATTCAGCCGAGCGGCTATAAAGAGTTACCGTAGCAAAATCACTGACCCACCAACTACGTGCCATGGAACTGTCTTCCGCGCAGCCTTTTTCACTAGTACGCAACAACAGCTCTCCACATACTTACGCGCCCAGGAGCATGCGCGGTGCTCGCCGGCGGCGCCAAAACGGTGGTAGCTCGGTGTAGTTGGGCAGTTGCGGTAAGATGCTTGGGCACCTCTCCTTCACGAATGTGGCAAAACTGGAGTTGATTTGAGGGCCCACGAAGCCCTCTGGGCAAACTGGTGTATTATCAGGCTTTAAAAGGTGGACCAACCGAAAATGCACCAATCGAATCTCACTGGGTGGTGGTGTTAAGGTATTCGAAGAATCCTGCAGTGGTACCTGGATCACATGCACTTGGTACCCGTTCACGCGCTCCGTGTGCATCAGCAACTTGTTCTTGTTACTAGGGCCAGTCATACAGATCTCATCGCACGGGTATATGTCGAAGTCGTATCCGCCTCTTGAGCCGTGAAGACCCGGAAGTTGCCAGCGACGTTCCGGGATGGATACTGCAGCATAGTTGCTGTTTCCCAGTCTTGCATCCATGTAGTCGTTGATACTCGAGAAGTTTGCCTCGGTTGTTACAAACTCATTTTTAGTATTACCACTATTTCTATTAGTATTATTATTGAGACTATTGTTATTAATTTCTATTATTATCATCTTGGTCGTCTGACCAAGTACACGGCCTAAAGTCAACTTATGGTATACCTGCGACCCGAAACCAATATGCATTCAACTTCACAGATGAATCCTTCGTGGGTGGTCGGGGCTTGCCAAAGCATAAATATTCGTATGTTTCCTGCAGAAGTGTTACCCTGAACATCGAACTCCCGAAGGGTCTAAGTGATGGTAAAGTATATACTTTGGGGGCCAAAATACCTACTGCAATGGTACTTGGACCCTGTAGGACTGCTGATGCCAAACCGTAGACCGTAATCCTTACTCAATCAAACGAAGAAACCTGTCTTTTGGGTGTTTCACTTCTAAGCTTACAACTGGACCTTCAAGCCCTTCGCTTGGGGATTAGGATTTGGGTTTAAGGTGACCCTGAACCCTAAACCCCTAAACCCCTAACCCCATAAACCCCTAAACCCTCGACTCAACCCCTAAACCCTAAACCCCTAAACCCTAAACCCCTAAACCCCTAACCCCATAAACCCCTAAACCCCTAAACCCCTAAACCCTCAACCCCTAATTCCTAAACCCCTAAACCCCTGAACCCTAAAACCCTAAGCCCCTGAACCCTAAAACTTTAAACCCCTAACCCCTGAACCCTAAAACCCTAAACTCCTAACCCCTACACCCCTTAACCCTTACCTGAACCCTGAGCCGAACTGCTGAGTTCCCTGGGCCCCAGAAAGGTTGAGCTCTTGAACTATGGTAGGAGGAACCTTAACCCTGAAGAACCTACCTTTTTGAGGACTTATATAAGGAAATCATAATAGGGAACCCTAAAAAGGTAGGTTCTTCAGGGTTAAGGAATATATCTGGGTAGTTGTCAAAACTATGGCCCCTTCTTGGGCACCCTAAAGAATAGGTGCCTTACTATATTAGGGATAAAAAAAGAGACCATAATTTTGACAGCCACTCACCTGGGTTTTGGGTTTAGTTTATGTAGTTTAGGGTGTAGTAGGGTCATATTCTAAACCCACAAAATTCCTACCCAGCTACTAGGTAAGACAAGTCTCGCTTAAGCCCACTCACTCAACAACGTCAGCCTACCAGCTCCGAACCCTGGCTGCCATTCCGGCAGCCTTTAATTAGCGGAGCCCTCAACCGACACCGACATCATTTAAAGACGGCATGTCGGTTAGGGCCACCCACCCATTAACATCACTTAGATCCCCAAGCAGCAAGATTCTTACGTCGGGGACCCCGTAACCCTGGAAGGAACGCTGTCCCTCAAAGGCGGCATGAACCCTGAAAGGGTTTCAGGTTCATATACCACACAGGGGTTTCTGCAGTATAAGGCTATAGGGCCCCTACCTTTCACGGTCATTTGAATGTAAGACGAGTTTCGCTTAAGTCCACCCACTCATCGACATCATTGTGTGCGACGTATCTTGCCAGTCCCTTGGACCTCCAAAGGCAGTGGTTCTCCTCTTCAAGCGGCGTTGAATGGCTGTAAGGTTCTTGGAATAGCGAGAGGGCTTACCTTATGGTTTGTATGTTAGAGGATTTTCGTTTGACGTGAGCTGGGCTTAGACCGTCGTGAGAAAGGCTAGTTGTCGCCCACTGATTCATGCAACCTTAATCGACACAAGTAGTGGGAAGTTTAGATGGCGAAAGCGCGAGTCAAACGGACACCATGAGCCCGAAGTTTTAGGCTCCCGGAAACCCCAACCCTGAATGTAATGCAGGACCGACTTGATATTCAGAATTTCAGGACCAGTTAGTCACCACCCGGACTCCTGCAAAAGCAGCAATGGGCTCCAACCAATACCAGTGATGCCGTGGAAATAAGACCTGACCAGTACCAGCTTGTGGGAGTCGATATAGGGCCGAAGCATGTCCTCCATGGGTTGGTGAACCCGAAACCCTAAACCGCAACCCTCAACCCTAAACCCTAATCCTAAAGCCTAAAGCCTAAACCCTAATCCGAAAGCCTAAACCCTTAACTGTCCTCCATCGGGGATAGGTCTTGGTCCTCGAAATACATCAAGACCATGTCGAAGCCGATTCGAAGGCTATATTCCACCCAATTCTTGATGTACGGGTCCATGCTCTTCGGTTCGTACACGGCTCCAGAGTTCGGATTCGTCCCTATCCGCAGGGTTGCGGTGCAGACGATGGAGCGGACAGGGGTCGGGGAAAGGGGCTCGTGACATACCATAACATTCTCCCAACGTGCCAGAATCTTGCCCGCAGCTGTGGCCGTGATGTTCATCAGCAGAGGTTCGTGCAGCATACCAGCAGCAACTTTACCAGCATCGCACTTCGCCGTGATTAACTGGTAGAGGTCATCCTTCTGACCCTTGTACGTCCTGTTTTGCCAGCTCGAATCTGATGCCATGTGCAGCAGCTGCGAGGGGTTCTCAGGTGAGACCCAATAGCAGTTAAAAGCCACTCTCCGGGCGAAGCGGAGCTGCTCCTGACCCGTCACAAAACCTGGACCATTCGCTTCGCCCCTCTGGCGACTGAACAAGACGTATGCGAAGTGGTTTGAGGGATGCAGAAAAGCATCCACCAACATCAGTCCTGCAGTGGCCACATAGTCATCCTGGAAATGCCGAGCCTTGCGGTACAACCTGCCTGATAGATCATGCTTGCAAGTTCGGACGTCTTCCTGCTGCGGGCTGTCGGGAGAAGTCGTGCTGGTCCGGATAGAGCCCGTTGTCGTCTTCGGCATGCCGGAAGTAACTTCAGAGCTGGTGGTGGTCTGCTGCCTGCTTGAGTCCGAAGTGTTGGTGCCTCTGCGTTCAGGGTGCTTCTCACCATGTCCGAAGCAATCATACTGCCTGCCTGGGTTCCGAATCAAGGCACGCGCGCAATTTTCTACCATAGTTCCTACGTGCCCAAAAATGTGTAAAAAAGAAAACTCAATAATATAGGGGCCTAACAATTAGAATAAATCCGTATTGTTTTGATAAGGGGTCCTAAAGAAAAATACTACGTTCCCCAGTCACCCCTTGATAATGGGGGGAGCCGCTTTCCTAATAGTCCTTGTTTCGTGATAAAGGGGCCCTTCGATAAACAAGGCAAAAGGGTAATCACTGCACAGGAACCTAGGCAATTAATTACGGCTCTATGTCAGGCGTTCCGCAGCCCAGATGCAGCTCCAGAGGGCAAAGTGACGCTGGGCGGGCCACAGAGGCAATAGCGTCACAAGCAATGCCACAGTTATGGCAAACAGTCTCCACATGGCACACGGTTTGGCTGTAGCATTGTCCCCATGATTACAAGAATATGTTGGAATCTAAAACCCCAAAACCCTAAACCCTATAATCCCTGCAGTAATCAAGAATCCCTGGCCCTATGACCCCAAAATATTGGGATCCCTCATGAGAAAACAGATAGCTTCAGGCATGTAAGTAAAGGCCCCTAATAAGCCCTTCACTATCGTAAGGTATGACCCCATAACCTGTAGTCTAGAGTCATGGATTTTTAGGGGAATTTTCGGGCTTAGTAGGGATTACATTCAGGGCTTTAGGGTCCTCAACCCTTGAACCGAATAATCAGTCTTTGGCTTCAGAGGTTAGCATGGAAAGCCCCCTTGACCTTCCGCCCCTCCCCCGGCGACACTCTAAACCCTAAACCGTAGCCACACTCTAAACCCTAAACCCTAAACGCTAAAGCCTAAACCCTAAACCGCCCCTCCCCCGGCGACACCTACAGCCACTGGCCTGAAGCCAAAAGGATATCGGTAGTCTGGTCCCCTCCTGGGAACCCAAAAGAAGGCGGCACTCTTATATGGGAGCTTCCAAAAATGAGGGGTACCTTAGTATGGGGTCCTCACAATAAGCATCCTATACTACCTAGGGTACTATATTAGGGTCCCCTATTTTCGGAAACTCCCATATAAACAAGCCCTAAAGGGGACCACTTTAGATAACTAGCCATGTGCAAGGCCGAGGATGATTTGTTCTTCTGGGTCTGCGGGCTCCGGGGCTGTAGGTGTATGTCTCTATACGGGAGTTTCCGAAAATGGGGGGACCCTGAAATAGTACCGTGAATAGTGGGATCCTTATTATAGGGACCCTAAAATAAGGTACCCTTATTTTCGGGAAATCGCCATGCACCCGCACACACACACACACACACACACACACACACACACACACACACACACACACACACGTATGCACGTTCCGTTGTCTAAAGTTCTTTGTTGTCGATGAGGAGTTCAAAACTATGTATTATGGTCTTACGGGGACGGCTCAGGGATTAGAGCTGCCCGAATTTGTGACTCGAAAGAATCTCTTGTTTAGAGGTACAGGCCCTGGGTTGTTGGCGGCGTAAAGAGAACTATACTAGAGTAACCGAGGTACCTTAAACAAGGTAAGTGCACCAATTTTTGAAGGCCATACCCCTCCTTTGAAGGTACATGGGATGCTCTAGGACCTGCTAAGTTCCCAGGTGTCTCGTCACTCCCCCAAGACTAGCTTACAACTACTACTGCCCTTCGGGTGAGGGCTCCATAGGAGCTGTGGTGTTTAGCGGTCCTACTATTTGCTTAAGAAACCACCAAAAAATAAAGATAATAATCCCTATATTACCCCCATAAGGAATATATATTTTATTTTTTGGTGGTTCTTAAGCAAATAGTAGGGTCTTGTCAGGGCCTAAGGCTGAAATGTCTGAATCGATCGGTTCAACCTGGGTTCACAAACCTCAAAAATCGCATTCGAGACGCAAATGGACACGAGCACCTCAAACCGAAATCCCTAAATCCGAAACCTGCAAAACGATGTGCAAACCTTCGAGTGGAGCCGGGTGCTCAGTATGATCCTAAGCCTCAACTTAAACTACAAACCCTGTAGGAAGCCTTACACGAACATTCGAATTAAGCCCCATAAACCGGCAGGAAAGCCAATCAAGGGATAGTGGGCTCTTGGAACCAGGCCCTGAACATCAAAACCACAAAGGCCTAAGCCTAAACCCTAAGCCCCTATAGATTTATGAGCCTTTCTGACCAACATGGAAAGAATGTCTGAATTACCCCGTGCAGTTTTATGATAATGCCCTCAACGCTAAGCCCTAAAACCAACAAAAATCATTGAACATGCATCCTAACAATGCTAAAGCTAAGGTCCACCGCTAAACCCTGAAAGCCTGAAACGCGCCTCCGGCACAAAGCTGCAGGGTTCAGGGGTCCAGTGAGGGTAGCAGTCCGCATGGCAACATCAGAGGGCCGATTTACCTATGATCTCTGTGGCAATTCCTGTTCTGGCTTAAGCAGTTGTATATCTAGGGTCCTACAGGGTACCAGCAAAGACTCTAGGTAGGATATAGGGTTGTGGGGATCGAGAGCTCAGGGGTTTTAGGCGCTGCAGGGTTTAGGGTTCCCAGAGAGCCCAATACCCCTTAATTGAGGAATATAGCTTTAATCTTAATATGAAGCCCTATATAATTTAAGCCATATTCCTTAATTAAGGGGTATTGGGCTCTCTGGGGTTGAGGCTTCAGGTTCAGGGCTCGCGGCTTTGCGGCTTTAAGGTTATAGGGCTGAGGCTTAAGGTTCAGGGTTCAAGGTTTGAGGGTTTCAAGGCTTCATGGTTGCCCGCCAGATTTAAGGAATATACCAGCATTCCCATAGTTATGAATATTTCCGCTTTTCACACCCTTAGAGAACTGATAGTAGCAAACTTGAAACACTTCATTTTTGAGCGCTTAATCTAAAGGCAATGCACGGTTTCGGCTATGAGCCGCACTCGCTGCAAGCCGCGCCAAGAACGGCCATGATAATTCGGCGGACTTGGGTTTGGGTATTTTATCGCAATACATAATGGCCTTGAACATTAGCCTAGGGGTTTTGCTACAAAGGAATACCAAATCTTCCCTCTGAGCCCTCTAGGCTTTGAGGGAATGCTCTTGGGAGTACATTTGTCCAACCCATACCTGAGTTGCATCTCAGGGCCCCCAACCCCAAACCCTAAACCCTAAACCCTAAACCCTAAACCCCAAACCCTAAACCCTAAACCCTAAACCCTAAACCCTAAACCCCAAACCCCAAACCCTAAACCCTAAACCCTAAATCCTAACATAAGAGTCTTAGGGTTCAGGGGGCTCACGGCTCAGGGGTTTAGGGTTTGGGGGTTTCGGGACTTTAACGGATTTGGGTTTAGCGTCCCCTCCTCTCAAAGGGGAAAAGGAGGGACCCTTAATGGGGACCCCTACCCTATAGTGGGCTATATAATGGGCATATAATAGCTCTATTAAGGGTATATACCTTGGGGTCCTTATTTAGGGTCCCTCCTTTTACCCGTGAATCCTCTTTTCAATTACGGTTTGGGGTTACCCCTGAGAGCTGAGCCTCAAGCAAAGCTTCTAGTGGATGGTTTAGGGATTCGGCTTTGGGGGTTTCGGGCTCAGGGCTTCTAGTGGCTGCTGGGTCCATGTAGAAGTGCAGGAATTAGGTTGAACATATCGGGGGCCAGGGTTTCGACAGTCTCGGGCTCGGGTTCGCACACGGTTGTTGACTCGGTGATGCATTGTCTGCGAGTTTATTGGGCTTAGGATGGATTTAGAATCCCGGAACCCCGCCCTCGGAGCCGAATACCCAGACCCCTCGACGAAACATGCCGACCCTTTTGATCCTTTTCCCATAGACCCAAGAGCAATCTGGGAATAAACGGTGCCCTTTTTGGTTAAGGGGCTAAAACGCGAATCTGAAACCCAAAAAACAAAGGAATGAGGGCCTAATTACTTAGGTCCTAGTCCCAAAGCCCTGTGCTCTAGAGTCTAGAGCTCTGGACCTTACAATCCTCAGAGGCTACCTAACCACTCCAATCCGCAGCCCTACAGCCACTAAGCCTCGACGCCCCGTAGCCGCAGACCCCTCTTTGAAGTACCCAGGGAATGAGTAAGTAGCGGAAAAAATACCTGAGGCTGAGTACCCTAGCCCAAACAGAGGTTAACCTTTTGAATTATGGTAGGATTTGTTTTAAGCCCCAAAAGGTTAAAGGTTCCTACTCTGCCCCTAACATACGAGTCAAAGTGCTTCGAACTCTGTTTCGAAGCTACTCAGTGAGCGCCAAATATCCCTTCAGGAAGGAACCCTCTGCAGCATAGGTACAGGCAGCATCCCCTAAACCCTGAACTTGACCTAAACCCAAACAGAGGTACAGTCCTCAATCAAGACCTATTGGGCTCTCTTTGTCTTCCGAATCCTAAACTCACAGTGGCCAAATGTGAGGTTTAGAGATGATGGGGTTTATCTTTTAATAGCATCACTTGTCTCTGGTTCTTGGTTCTTGGGGGGGGATTTGGGGTTATAGGGTTCAGGGGCTTCCAGGGCTTATTGTTTAATAGCTTTATTAGTTTATGGTTTAGGGGTTTAGGGATTAGGGATTACAGGGGTTTGGGGGTTGCGGGACTTCAGCGGCCTTGTTGCTCGAGGTGGTGGAGGGGCTTGGGGCGTGAGGCCCTAAACAACCCTAAACCCGAAACCCCAGGGGGTAGGGTGGTTTTAGTGAGGCTTTTGGGCTCTGGGGTCCGGGTCTTTTAGGGTTTAGCGTTTAGGGTTCAGGGTCTTCTTGGGGCTGCAATTATTCAAGGCTTGGTGGCTTTAGGGCTTGAGTGTGTTGGTGCCTGTAAGCTTCAGAGATTCGATTTCACATCGTTAGGGCATCTATGGTTTACGCAGCGCTCATGGCATATGGGGTCAAATAGAGGTATTTCGGGATTTCC